TTATTTTTACTGTATTTAAGTCATATAATTATAGTAGGATTTTAATATTAAAAGATTTTAAAAACTACGATACAAAAGCAGTTGATTGCTTCTTGGTCTCCACTGGTACTCCCCACTGCTTCATCTGTAAAGACTGATGCTGAGACTGATATCGAGTCATCCTTAGTACTTAGTAACACTGTAACAATAGTAATTCTTTCTAGCAAAATTTGTCATGATGGTTACTTTGCTCTTTTGAGCAACTTGTTGAAAAAATAGAAATGATTTCTAGATCTATTCTTAGCAACATGTTGATTATGAGATCAAAGTAACCACAAATGTTACTAGCAACATGTTGCCTGGTGTATGGCCTCCTAATTAAAGGCCTCCATACACCAGGCAACATGTTGCTAGTAACATTTGTGGTTACTTTGATCTCATAATCAACATGTTGCTAAGAATAGATCTAGAAATCATTTCTATTTTTTCAACAAGTTGCTCAAAAGAGCAAAGTAACCATCATGACAAATTTTGCTAGAAAGAATTACTATTGTTACAGTGTTACTAAGTACTAAGGATGACTCGATATCAGTCTCAGCATCAGTCTTTACAGATGAAGCAGTGGGGAGTACCAGTGGAGACCAAGAAGCAATCAACTGCTTTTGTATCGTAGTTTTTAAAATCTTTTAATATTAAAATCCTACTATAATTATATGACTTAAATACAGTAAAAATAATTTTAAAATAATATAAAATTATTTAAAATTATTAGAGGGTACAATTTTGCCTGACTAACACAAATCACATAATGATAGTCTAAAACAAACTAGTTTCAGTTTCATACAAGTAGCAGTTTACTCCCAACAGTCCCACAAACTTTTGTCCTCTAAAACAGTACTTATTAAAAAATAGCTTCATAATCCTTACGATTTCAAAATTCATCAAGCAATTAACATGGTAAAGAACCTTGGCTACATAGTGAGACTAATTATTACCTCTGGATTCTTCTGATGCATAGTTACAAAACCAGGTACCTTTTCTTTCAAATTTGCGACATTTTAACTACAGGATATAACAGTCACGTGATGCCACACCCAAAATTTATTGAAATTAAATTATGCGGGTACAATTACTATTTCACTCAAAAGTTGACAGGTGCGTGCGGGGACTATTTGAGGGTGGGAAATAATTGACTTGTGGGGTCTATTCGAGGAAATACGGTTACATGTATGTGTATATGCATTTGTGTGTTATATTAATTGATGATCTAGAGCTTTTACTACATGCAGCAGCAT